AAAGAAAAAACAAATATTGTTAAGAGAAAGGTCATAGAGCTTCAATTTCTGTGAGTCTTCTTCCTCCTCTTCTTCTTCTTCTTCTTCTTCTCCTGCTTTCTTTCATTCTTTTTTTTTCTTTTTTCTTCCTTTTTTTTTTTTTTAATTTTTTTCTTTCTTTCTTTTTTTTTTTTTTCTTCTTTTCCTTTCTCTTTTTCCCTCTCAGTCGAGGAGCAGAGTACGAAAGAGGAGAAAAAGTTAATAGCATCGAGAAATTAGCCGATGCAGGGTGGAGGCCGGTATGGAGGGCTACGTTTGAGGGCGACGTTTGAGGGCGATCAGGGGGTTCGAGTTTCGGTGGGGTGTTCTCTGCACAGATGCAACGATAGCAACAGTTCGAACGGCGCGTTCGTCGGGACGGAAGGCCACATATGAGCTCGAAGCCTATGGCGTCGTATGGGCTTGACTCACACGCATCACGCGTGGTCATCCATCATTGTCAGTCTCTTCACTGACACAGACGTTCCGTCCTACCTTCGGACCTCTCCGCGTACGTATCTCTACCTACCAACCTACCTACGTATGTACTTTAACGTTATACATGTACGATTTACTTTTGTTATACAACTCGTGTCGTGATTTTCTTAATTTCGTTCACGAATTTCTAAGTTTGATTTTTATTTTCCATTATTCTAACTAACGGCAATTTATAGAAATTTTAATAATTGCCAATTTTAACTTTGACCCGAGTAATATTGGTATTATTCTAATACGAATGATATTCTCGTTTCTTAATATTTTATATTTTTTTTTTCTCTTCTTGATCGTCGTTGATTTATTTGTTAAAAAATGGAAAAGAAAAAGGAAGGAATTCCTTTTATCTTTTGATTTTCTTTTCTCTTCAAGTCCTTACCCGTTGTTCCTATTTGTCGATTAATCCGCGCGAAATGAAACGAACAACAAAAAAAAAAAAAAAAAGAAAAAAAAAGAAAAAAAAAAAAAAGAAAAAAAGAAAAGAAAAAAAGAGAAAAAGAACTTTTTGTTTTCCCTTCGACTATATTCATCGTGAAAATGAATTTCACGTGACAGTACGCATGCAGGAAGATTCTAACGCGGCATATGAGACGCGTTAAAAATAATATTTCGGTTCGATTGCACCGATATTTCGGCTCATCCATCATCGTCACTTTCCTTACCGACATACTAGTGCCTCGTCTCATGTACGATTTTGACTCACACGCACGCATGTCCTGGGGGCGCTTTCAGTTGGGAAGTTCTTTCATCGGGATCATGCTATCCTCCTAGGATGTGAAATTCGTCCCTTCCGGTTGCCACGAATTTATTCTTTAACTCTCTATCATCTCTTTTGCAATTAAACAATAACAAAACTGATAATTATCTTCCACCATTCTGATGGTGGATTTTATCAATTTTTTTTTGTTTATTTATATTTAATTATTTTATATATTATGAGAAAGCATTAATAGTGATATAGTAACATACATACATATTATATATATATATATATAATATATATATATATATATATATATATATAAAACAACAGGTAAATAAATTAGAATCAATATTTTAAGTTTCGCTATGAGCTTGTATTTGATAATTGTGTTAGTGAACAACTGTACATTTGTTTACTGTGTTGAGGCATCGCCTACGACACTTACTTATACAATTGAGGGAATGGATAAACAATATATATAAGATTACCATACGCGCGTTTTATATACAATGATTCTTTAAGTATAATATATGTAGTTTATAAAAGACAAACGCTTTTTAATAATAAAAGATAAATAAAGATAACGGAGAGCGATAAACTCCTTTGAGTTATTTCACAGCAAACAATTTTCATTATGTTCGTTAAAATTTATATATATATATATATATATATATATATATATATATATATATATATAAATTTTATGCAAATAAAATAAAAAAATAAAATGAAAACACACACAAAGAGAAAAAGTAAGTACTTAAGCGTATTATCTTCTGACATCAAGTCTTGCATCATAGTAAATTTGTAACAAATGTGTTATATATATTAATAGTAAAAAAAGAATTCTCTTTTCTTTTTTTTTTTTTTTTTTTTTTTTTTTTTTTCTTCACAATGTAGTAAAGTGTGTACAAAAAGAGAAAAGAAATGAATGTTTCGAACGAAAAATTAATTACAAAATTAATAAGAAAAAATTAAAAATCAATATAAGAAACAATTTAGATAATAGATAATACTGATAGAATATTGCGTCTTTTCAGAGATTAATAAATTAGATAATTTAGATAATGTGTGAATAGCGAAAACAAAGACAAAAAAGGAAGAAGAAGAAGTTAAAAAGTTCGTTTAATATAAAAAAAAGAAAGTATAATAAGGATATTGTTTTTTCTCTCTTTAATGGCCCTAAGAATTTCCGAACAAAAATATTCTTTCCTTTCTTTTTTCTCTTTCCTTCATAAAAAAAAAAAAAAAAAAAAAAAAACGACACGATCGCGCGTATGTAAATCTTATAATTAGCTCAATTTAGCGAAAAAAAGGGCGAAAAGAGAAAAATCGTTTAATATAAAAAAGTATAGAAAAAACTTATTCTTTTGTATAGGTCACGGAGAATTTCCGAAAAAACAATTTTCTTTCCTTTTCTTTCATAACAAAATGACAAATGATTGCGCGTATGCAAATCTTATGTCAAATGCATCATGTTTGTTTTTACGTTAATGTTTTCCATGTGCTTGAACGTATATGTGTGTGTATATATATATATATATATATATATACATACATACATACATATATATATATATATATATGTATATATATATATATACATACATACATACATATATATATATATATATATGTATATATATATATATGTATAAAGCTGAATCGAGAATGAGATCGTGTATAAAATAAAATAATATTTAATTAATTCAATAGGTTCGATGGTTCACGCTATAATTAGGTAGTGTTAAACAATTACAGTCCATTTTCAATTAATTCTATTCGCCGTCGCAATTGTAATATTTTTTTTTCATTTATTCATTCACTTATCCGTCGGCGTATACACATTAGCTTAAGCGTGATCGTGTAGAGAATCACGATACTTTATACACGTATCTCATCGTCATCTCTCTCATCTTCTATGATATTATATACACGTTTGCATAATTAATTATTGCTTATCAATTTACAGCGTTTATATGTGTGTGTTTGTGTGTGTGTGTGTGTGTGTATACGCATGTGTGCGTATGCGTGTGTGTGTGTGTGTGTGTGCGTGTATATATATATATATGTATGTGTGCCTATGTCTGTGTTCTCTCTTATTTCGTTGCAAATATTCATATTACAAACGAAACATAAAATCTATCAAGATGTCTTTCAAATATAACTCAATTCCATTTTGTTTCGTCAGATAATTCAACATAATACATATTTAGATATTTAAATAAATTCATTGGATAAAGAAGCCGATAATTAGGTACAGATTTCTATCTCGTTATGTGAGTGATAGATTTACAGTGATTCACAGTGATTGACTTAACACTATTTTAAGACACATAGTCTCTATTGTCATAGTTTATATATATATATAGATATATATATATATATATATATATATATATATATATAGCGATTAAAAAATGTCTTATTTCATTTTGTCATAGTTAAACAATAATATTTTTAGAAACATTTTTCAAACAATTCGATTAATAGCGGTAACGTCAATCACTTTGAATATGGTGTATACATAGTTCGTGAATCAAATTAAATTAATTTAAGCATAATCAGGAGATGTAAAAGCCAATTTCTTTATATATATGTATATATATATATATATATGACCACTTATTTAAATATTAAGTAGTATTTAGACTTTATCCCGGAAAAAAGATATTAGAAATGTGATTATTTTCTTTTTTTTTTTTCTTTTTCAACAAAATCTCACTTAGAGAAAAGCGTTTACGTATTATTTAATATCTTTCGTTTGGTTTTTTTTTTCTTTTTTTTTTTCTTCATATTCATTTACTACAATATATGCTTTATTTTACCTTTACATTGTATTTCTTATGTGTTACAGCCTTAAACTTTTAAAACTCCCAATTATGATACAATTTACATAAAGTTATTTATAAAAACATTGCACTATTTTGTCTCGTTTCAAATTATTCACGAGATTGGCCACAAACATCGAGATTGATTCAGGCCATTTTATTTATTATCGTAATAATATTTCGTTTTATTTACATGCTTTGAGTCGATGTTTTCGAATTTAGTATAGATAGGTATATGTAGTTAACATTTTTCTAGAATCAGTACCGTTTCGTAAGTTCTTAAAAAAAAAAAAAAAAGAAAGGTAACGAACGGATCACATTTTATTGAAAGATTCGTTGTCACATCAACGCTCTCATTTACTCTCACCGGCCATTGAACTATTCGCTAATGTTAAAGAACGATAAAGAACAAGTTGGCCATGATAAATTTCAAAACGTTTAAAATTACAACATATAGTATCTATTAAAATGTATTTACAAGCTGCATTTTTCGGTACTCTTCTTAATAATAAATAACAGAATTAACGTAACATATTAATCCCTGTATTTTGAACAAATTCTTAGCTTGGACGCAATGATTAGATTTATTCGCTAAATAGTGCATGGCGATATAAACAGGTATAGTGAATAGATTTAACCTAAACGTGCACTAACGAACAATCATAAACGCGAATCATATTTAAAATTGCATCATTCCATATCTTTTTTTTTCTTTTTATTGTATATATATATATATATATTTTTTTTTTTTTCTTCCTTTTTTTTATACGATGATATACAATATGTATATCCACGTTCGAAATTATTCTCCTTATTAATCGCTTATTTTTTAATTAGACAGAAAATTTCCAAGTTTGAGTTTCGGATTATTTAAAATTATTATATATATATATATATATATATATATATATATATATATATATATATATATAATAACGGAGGATCTACGGATTTTAAAATCGTTCATCGAGTTATCTCATCGATCTCGATAGTTTGGAAATAGTCGATTAACTTGAGGAAATCACAAAGAACTTTTAACTTCGTATATATCACCGATACTATATCACCAGTTCTAATTATAAACACAGCGCATATCATTTTTTTCGTATCGGTAGATGATACGTTCACAAATCACAAGTTATAAGTTAATATAAAACATTGAGCAGTCCTTGTTCATCGGCCCAGTCAAGTTGACACGGATTTTCCGTCTCGTGGACTCAGCTGAGCTGATAGTATTCGGGAGCAAAGTCATTGGCGAGATTGCTGAGAAAATTAAAGTCCGAAGAGCTATTACTGTTGTCGGCCGACGGTGGCGGTGCAGTCGTGTGAACGGGTTCACCGTAAAAATTGCCGTAATTGTTATAATCCGCACTTCCGTCGGCTTGTCCCGTGCTACCGGGTGGCGTGATGACAGCAGCGGTTGCTGCGGCAATTGCAGTCGCTGTGGTGGTCATTCCGGGTGCTGGGAAAGGATCTGGTGAAGACACATAACTATTTGGTATACTGGAAGCCTCGCCACCCTGATGAACGTGGATCTGATTGGTTTGCTCGTAGTAAGCGTTAGGGTGACATTTGTTACTTGTTCGATAATCACCGGAAGTGGGATGCATTGACGGTGGATGAGCGACATAACTATCAGCCTGGTGTTGCTGCGGTTGTTGTTGTTGTTGCTGTTGTTGCTGTTGTTGTTGCTGTTGTTGTTGTTGTTGCTGTTGCTGATGTGGCATTTCATTATAATAATGTTGTCCGCTTTGGGTAGACACATTGGAATGACTGTGGGGTGTAAGATTCTCACTATTGGGATGATAACCGGTACTAGTATAACCGTAATTTCCATATCCTTCCGTCGGTTGTTCGGCTTGTGGATTGGAATAGCCTTGGGCGGTATTATAAGCACCTCCGCTTTGCATGCTTCTATGATAGGAAGCATGATACGTTGCTCCGCTTTGAGGATACCCATTGTAGTCGGCAGTATTACCGTATTGGTTTTGTTGTTGATGAAATTGCATGTTCGAATATACGTTTCTACCGCTGGCCATTCTCACGTGGCTCATTCTCGAAACAACCGTCTGATTTTGTCTGTACGGATGTACATCGCTAGTATACGGAATTCTTGTGTGTTGATAGCTCTCTCTGGTGCAATAATTGTTCTGCGATTGCGTTTGCTGAACGACTACAGGAACAGTTTGTCTAATCGTTGAAATACCGTTTCTATAGTCCGCTCCTAGATTCGGTTGATAAACGTTTTGTTGTTGAAAATGGTTTTGATTTGCCGCCATGCTTCTGACAGCATGAGGCGACATAGTTCCTGATTGCATTATAGTTGTTGTCGATGATGGAGAGCTCCGTGGTCTTTGCATATAGGATGTATGAGTTTGCTGTATACTAAGTGGACTTCCTTGTTGAAGTTGAACAGAAGCTGGTGTTCCAGGTGTGGATGATGGTGTTAGGCTCCTTGCTGAATTTTGTCCTGGTAAGACTGGTGTACTGACAGTAGAATCAGGCATAGCAAGAAGAACACCGTTGCTATTTACAGAACAAATATCTTTTGAATTCGCGGACGGAGACTTCTTACTAATGGAAATTTGTTTAGTGGTGTTTGGACTCTTATGTCCACTTTCAACCTTGACCCTAATATCATTAGAGAGTTTCTTTGCCGGTACGCTCGGCGATGTCACTTCACTACCATCTTGTGACCTGGAGTCATCGTCGACTATCATCTTTTCTAGGGAACTCGAAACACTGTTTGTGCTTCCAACACTACTGGCACCGTTGCTGTTTGTATTAAATACTGAGTTACTATTGTTGTTATTGGTTGCAGTTGGCGTATTATTGTTATTATTACTATTATTATTATTATTGCTGGTGTTGTTATTATTGCTGTTGCTACTTCGTCGACCAGACGTAGCAAGTTCGCTGACGTCACCAGAGAGAGTACTACCAACGTCTCCGACACCAGAAATATCACAGTTGTGACAGCTCTTCTTTTCCTCAGCATCGATACTTAACATTTTATCACTTTTAGATTTTTCCATACCGTCGGACGTTGAGCCATCCTTCTCGTCGCCATCCTCCTTACTCAAAGTTTGCCGTTTATGCTTCATACGGCGATTCTGAAACCAGACTTTTACCTAGAAATAAAAACGTTGTCATGTTTTAATTCGATCGAAGTCGACTCTCTAGGTAAAAGACTGCAAACACGTTTTCAGGAATCTTTCGGAGTATTTCGTATTTTAACGATTCTTTGATCAGTTGACAAATGTCGTTCTTACCTGACGTTCTGTCAGATCGAGCGATGCTGCTATCTCGATTCGTCGTGGCCGACAAAGGTATTTATTGAAATGGAACTCCTTTTCCAATTCTAACAATTGCGTATTCGTATAAGCTGTCCTCAATCTTCTTGGCAAACCATTCTCTAAAAAGAAAAGGAATATAATGGTTATCTTTTTTCGTCCTTATTTTTTCTTCTTCATTTTCTTTTTCTCCATTGCGCATGACAAATAAATCTTATTATAATTCGTATTTGTAATTGACGTTTGGCAAAACTTTGGGAACAATTTTTTTATCTGCAAAAAAATTTTCTAACAAAAAAAAAATGAAAGAAAGAAAGAAAGAAAGAAATTCTATTCAAGAAAATTCACAATTTTGACAATATCCCCGGAAACGATTAGTAACCTTCTTTACATCCTTCATATCATCCAAGACGGACGACGCTTCATATCGTTTTTATTGAAGATTTTAAAAGATAAATAGTTATCTAATTAATGATCTAAGGGACGTAAGGGAGGTGAAGCTACGTCATCGCAATAGTGAAGGAACGAAGGCTTTTCGTGTCTATGTACCTGTGGTAGCAATAGCCGAGGGTCTCTCGACTCCTTAGAAACTTTTGGGCAAGTTCCCAACCGTTGGTATTCCGTGTCGATGCGAAATACCTCCTAATTGTTATCAGGCAAGAAACTTGTCTCGCGATAACAAGGGGAAGCTAGGGTGTCTCACCAATAGGAGGGAGGAGAGAGGAGAAATTGGGTGGAGGAATTGGGAGAAGGGTGTGGGGGATAAGAGAAGCAAAGTAGCAAGGAGCAAAAGGGGGCCAGTGTATTCAAGAGACTTGGTAGACCATAGAAAGTAGCCAGCAAGTATCCCACGGTTACATGTACTTCGATAGATCGCATGACGTAACACTAATTTCCGGTTGGGAGACACACAACAATTATTAATAGTCCTCGAACGTAATTACGGAATTTACGGAGCAGCCATTACCGTTACGGACTCGATCGTTTCCTTTCGATGCATTCCTGCTCAAACGAATGAATTTTTATAATGATTATTCGCGACATACATACATAACCGAGATATATTACTTTTTTTTTTCTTCTTTTTTTTTTCTGTTTTTTTTTTTTTTTTTTTTTATTCAAATTTATATTTGCGTTACATACATATATTATATGTTACCAATGGATTTAGGTATGATATAATAGTATATAATTTCTAGTAATCTTTGAGTAAGATATGAATATCGATGAAATCTATTATATCTTATGAATCATTTAGATTATAATATTATATCGTTAGTATGGATATATACAGAGTGAAACATTTTATAGATTAAAAGATATCACCATAGAACAACTTGAAACATTTTTCCTCAGGAGAAAAGACTTGCCTTCGCTTTTTTACATTCTATACTGTTAGAAAAACTTTGACGTATAGCCGTGTAATTATTCGACACCTGGAGTCCCTTTCTCCAATAGCTTGTTCCTACGCAGGGTGTTAGATATCTTTTTTTCCCCTCTCTTTTCTTCTTCTTTTTTCCTTTTTTTCTTTTCAACGCGTCGCCGTATCGAGAGTAAAAAAAAGTGCGATACGAGGTGCAGCTCTGGAGAAGAGCGTTCTGTGTAAGGGCTGTCTAACGGCGGGGTCCAAAATGCTGAAGCACCCCAAGCGGATGTAAGGGTGGCCCCGAAGGGTGCTTCGAAAGTGGAATGAGAGTTGTTGGGAGTTGGAGAAGGTGGAGATGGGTCGAGCATGGATGAGAAGGGCTCTCGTCGGTGTGAGAGAGAAATAAAGAAAGAAAGAAAGAAAGAAGAAAATAGACGATATAGAAATAGAAAAAGAGAGACTATATAAAAATAGGAAGGGAGCGAGAGAGAGAGAGAGAAAGAGAGAGAGAGAGAGACGGAAATGAGAGCGATGTTGGAGAAAGAAAGAAAATAGAGTGTGCGAGAGAGAGAGAGAGAGAGAGAGAGAGAGAGAAAAGAAGAGAAAGAAGAGAGAAAGATAGACGTCAGTGAGAGAAGGACAAAAAGAGAAAAAAAGAAGGGTGAGTGGGTGGTTGGTTGGTTGGTTCGTAGAACGGGGCTAACTTCGCACGTGGTATTTCCACAGAGCGAGGGTTGAGATAGACAGAGAAGGGAGGGAATAAGAGAGAGAGAGAGAGAAAGAGAGAGTCACAGAGAGAGAGAGAGAGATGAAAGCATGATTGACGTGGGCCTCATCAGCATTTCGGTCTCGCGATTGGCTGGACGGACCTGTCAATCAGCCAGTATTCCACGCCTATTGAATGCATTTCGCGTTGCCGTTATCTGACACTCTTCGATTTTTAAGGGCTGATATACATATATGATATATTCGATATATATATATATATATATATATATATATATATATATATATATATACACTGAATTTGTGCGAGAGTATACACATTATGTATTTATATGTATATAAATAGGTACATATATATATATATATATATATATATATATATATATATATATATATATATGTAGTAGACATTTCCATAGCATAAAGACACATGAAATCGGTCGATCATGGTTGGAGCTCTGAAATTCTCTCTTGGGAGCCAATACGACTATACGTGGAATTTTAATGTTCATTTAGCATTCAAATTGCTATCGTCATGACTTTAATCCCTTAAATTCCACTTCCGTTCTTTTCGTTGAATTATTCCCGGCGATGTGATCAACGGAGATATATGTAATAATTACGTTGCATTTGGATTCGTTCTTGTCATCCCACACAAAACAATAGATTTTTGTTGTAAAACGTTTATTCGTTTAAAATTATTCAATCGTCATTAATCACGAGATTATGACGGTGATCTTTTTCTTTTATCTTTTTTGTTTTTGACTTTTTTTTTTTTTTTACAAGTCCAACCGATAAAAGAAAAAAAAAAAGATACATTTGTTATAATCAAAAATTTATTATAATATAAATTTTATCAGATCGAAGTTAGAAATTCTTGTAACGATACAACGACCGAGTGGCAGTTGTCAATCAAGATACGTGACAGAAATTGCTTCTTTGTAATCGCCGCTCGTCTTTCGACGAAAGGACGAAAATATCAGTTAGCATTTCATTCTTCTGCAAGCGGGGGTTGAGAGATGACGTACACTAGTTGGGTGATAGCCGACACGTAGACCGTCGAGTGACAGGATCGTGTGCAAGGTGCGATGGATAGCCTCACCAAAATAGAGCTTGCATTTCTTAATACTGTCAACCGTTTCTTATTTCTTAGCGAATGGCCAATTATTTAACGTATACGAAGAATTACGATAAATATATGTTAGTTAATAATTTTCTTAATTAATTCTGACTCATCAATTTTTGTTTTTTTTTTTTGTTATTTAACAATTATTAAATTTCCTTTTTTTCTTCTTTTCATAATCGCTTCGTATAATTCGAATAAAATTAGAAGAAATTGTTATATATGTACACACACACACACACACACACACACACACAGATATATATATATATATCATGAACGTAGAATCTAGGCTGAATGTCAGTTTTTCGAAAAAAAATTCTTAAAATCACAATCGCAATAATTACACGGAGCAGTTCGTCACTCGTCAAGAAAGTAGAGCAGTCGACATTTGCTTAGTGTATTACTTTCGTTAGGTCACGATATTTTTTTCCCCTCGAAACGAAAATATCTTGTATTAACTTGATAGTGGTGACACGAATTTGCGCGATTGTTCTTTCAAATGAAATAATACGATGCACTCCAAAGAAATATTTATTTTATATAATAATAAAGCGTGAAAGGATGTAAGAAATATTATGTAGCTAGTTTTTATTTATTTATTTATTTTTTTTTTCTTTTTTTTTTTTTTTTTTTTTAGATATAATTACGTCACGTTTATGTAGGATAACATGATTTTCCATGGGATGAATCAAATGGGACGATCTAATGTCGTTGATCTTATTTATCTCATCGCGAAGGTTTTCACAAAACGAAGCTCCATTTTGCTTCCGATGTTTAAGGATCAATGCCGAGCCATAATGACCGTCGGCAAAGGGAAAGCAGACGATGAAGCGTGCTGAAATAAGTAGTCCACACGCGACCAGAGAGCGTTTGAAATCTACCTGTCCTCCCTCGGAGTTCTCTCATTCCCCTTTTCCTCTTATTCTTCGAGCAAGTTGTGTATAGACAGGTGGGAAGGGTCACATGATGGCCGTCTCGTGTAATTTGTCTTTTGTTTCCCCCGTGTTCGTGCCTTTAGCCGGAGGAAGAAAACTTGCGAAGGAAGAACAAAGGGCGGAAAGAACTGGCTCGATCGAACCTTGTCCAGAAGAGAACGATTTCTCTTTCTTTTTTTTCTCTTTCTTTCTTTCTCTCTCTCTCTCTCTCTCTCTCTCTTTTTCTCTCTCTTTCTCTCTCTCTGTCTGTTTCTTTCTCTGTCTCACTCCCGTTTCTCTCCGTGTCACTCTTTCTTTCTTTTTTTTTCCTTCCTCTTTCTTAATTCCGACATTGAGAACCAAGCGGTAAAGCGATGATGTAAACGTATGAAAAATGAGTGACGAGAGTTCGAGACGTTCAAAAGGGCAGGCGGTTTCGTTTGTACTTTGGCCGGTTTAGAAACAGGTAGAAAATCTAATGAACCAGAGAGGACTATTCGGGTCGTGGTGATTGATACTACAACTGATCGTTTTACTTTTCACGAAATTAGCAATTTCTTTAATATTTTTGCATTATAAAACATTGCGAATAATGGATCGCGAATAAGCTCGACTTTTTAGATTATTATAAGTTGAGGAGGTGAGAGATGGAAAAGTAATAAAAAAAAAAAAAAAAAAAAAAAAGAAAGAGAGAGAGAAAAAAAGAAAGATATTAAGAGAGAATTTTCGATTGCATCGGTTTTTCTTAGAAAATGAGTTCGTCGATTTCGGAATATTCAATCATTGATTATAATATGTCCATTTGTCGTTAAAGCCAATCGATGGATTAGATTATCCAATGGGACTAAAATATATTTTAGTGGATTCGATCGTTGATATTAGGTAATGTCCTCGATAACGAGCGAAAAATTATTCATTGGGCGAATAAGAAAATACCTGTTTCACGGCTATTTGGATAATTTGTTGCGGATAGTTCGGGGAATGATTAGAGAAAGAGAGATATATATGGAGATGGTAGAGAAGAAGAAGAAGAAGAAGAAGAAGAAGAAGAAGAAGAAGAAGAAGAAGAAGAAGAAGAAGAAGAAGAAGAAGGGAATCCCCGTAAACCATGGCTCATTACAGATTTATGCAAGGGCGTAGACTGGGGCTTGTGGAAAGGCACACACTCCATGAACTAAACGCACGGTTTTCGAGTGGAGGGAGTCGAAGTGGAATGGCTGGCTGGCTCGCTGGCTAGCTAGCTGGCTGGCTGGCTGGCTGGCTGGCTGGTTGGAAAGGCCTTCGATGCTTTGGTTTTGGTCTGGGGCCTCGTTGGGTTGTACGGTGCTCGGATACGAGCGATAATCAATTAACGGCGAGCAAAACAAGAACCACGGCCGAGCATCGACCGAAAGCCAGAGCTGCAAAATGTTTCGCACCTCTCCGCACCACTTTGCCCTGGAAGCCCATTTCAGCGATTCGAGTAGCTGCTCTAGCCCGCTGATAAGTCCATTGTCCGGAATAATTGATTTCTTTGTCATACAGTTTAGTCGATGATTCGAGATATTAAGTTAGGGGTATGTTCCTTAAATATCGTTTCAGGGTGTATTATAAAAAAAAACAGGGATAAAATGAAGAAGAAGAACAAGAAGAAGAAGAAGAAGAAGAAGAAGAAGAAGAAGAATGATACCATAGCATGAGAGCTATCGCAATCCTTATCGTAATTTTTATTTCTATCTTTTTTTCTCTGTTTCTTAATTCTATTATTTGATGTCCCATCAATTGCTTATGTGGGTTATTAGCGATATAAGGACAAAGTTCACAGTTTATCATACAATTTGGTGCTTGTGCTTTAAATAATGTAGTAACCTTTCTCTCCCTTTCTCTCTCTCTCTCTCTCTCTCTCTTTTTTTTATCTCAGTCTTTCTCTCTCTTTATTCTTTTAAAATTGTACTTTAAAGATGGATCTTATGTCGATGGGTTCTTTATGAGGGTACTATTTCTTGCAGTATAAGTTTATCTGTCAGAGATTCGAAGATAAAAAGACTGAATTCTTATATCTGTTTAAGTTATTCATCCACATGTATATCCAAAGAGAGACCTACATAGTAGTCTTTTTAAATGAGACACATCTATAGTTTCTTCGTTCAAAGCCGACGGATCATCGCGTCCCTTCGTCCGAAGGGATCGCATAGACAGGATTTAAGCAGAGGGACGAGCTCCTCTCTCGTGAGTACAGCTAGGGATAGATATTCAGCTCTTGGGTAGTGCCTTCGAACCATAATCTGGCATCGATTTTATGCAAAAGCTCTACCACGAAAGGACCCACTGTGTTATTACGTACTCTCTTTTTCTTCTTCTTTCTTCTATTTCTTTTCCTCTCTCTCTTTCTTCTTCTTCTTCTTCTTCTTCTTTTTCTCTCTCTTTCTCTCTCTCTCCCTCTCTCCCTCTCTCTCTCTCTCTCTCTCTCTCTATTTTTCTTTCTCTTCAGCTCTTTCAAGCGTCAGAACTGATCGTCTGCATTTTTTAGCGACTCGTGAAAATCCTCAGACACGTTGGGTGTATTAGAATTAGCATAGGAAAGTTTTATAGGTGCAAGTGAGAATAGAAAATACGATAGAAATATGACAGAAGGATGAACGATCGAAAAAGAGAGAGAGAGAGAGAGAGAAAGAGAATGAGAGAAAAGAAACGAAAGATCATTTTATTCATGTACATTCGTATACATGTGAATACATATATGCTATTCATTGTCAAAACTAAACAAAATAGAAAAAAGGACAAAGTAAGGAAGGTTAAGATACCGAGATAAAGCTTGTATAAACACGTCATATTGAGCCGATTCTATTTGTATATTATATAAACAAGAAGGTGACCTCCTATATACGCATTTCCATATATTCCAGTCTCATGAGTTTTGTTTCATCGCGACTGTTATCAGTCGTAGTTAAATCGTAGTAGAGTGAACAACGTTAAACTTTTAATTTTAATATTTAGTTACTTTCTCTCTCTCTCTCTCTCTCTGGTTTCATGCAATATTAAATAAGGATAACTTTCTCTTATCAAGAAACATTTTAATTAATACATATCTACATATATATATATATATATATATATATATATATATATATTCTATTTCAATTAAAACCAAGATTAGTATTAACTGGATAAAACTTTATTTAATTCCAATACGTAAATTTTGTACGAACGAGAGATAGAGATAGAGATAGAGATAGAGATAGAAAGAGAGAGATAGAAAGAGAGAGATAGAGAGAGAGAGAGAGAGAGAGAGAAAGAGAGAGGAATGAAATAAAGAAAAAAAGGAAAGTACCGAGAAACGCCATAGAAGTGAGCTGGTATCGGTCTGATGCGATGCGGCGGCCATGTTGGAGTGCATGCAACGATGCAGTAGACTTGCCAACATATGATTATGGTGGGCGCAACTAAGGCTCCTCGTGCAAGAAAATTGGACGAAGGGCACTCTTCTTGTTGGAGGAAGACGAACGGAACTTCTGATACATGTATTTGTAAGTTTCTATATATGTGTGTATGATGAGAGAGAGAGAGAGAGAGATAGATAGATAGATAGATAGATAGAGAAAGAGCGAGAGAGAGAGAATGGGAGAGAGAGAGAGAGAGCGAGGAAACGAGCAAGAGAGAGAGAGAGAGAGAGAGAGAAAAAGAGAGAGAGAGAGAGAGAAAAAGAGAGAGAAAGAGAAAGAGTGTGTGCATGATATGAAGGCAAATGTCTGGCCAGGTAGAAGGCGTGCCGATGCAACCTGCAATCATCGGGGTGGAGCGACCATGCTCGACCCCTTCGTATACGGCCTCGCTGAACCTGCGGCCCTTCCTTTTGCGTCTTTCCAACTTCCTGCCTAGCAATCTTTTTACCAGTAATTCTAACCAACGATAAGAAGCTAGAGATACGTACTGGCAATATCTCGACGAGATATCGGTATTATAAATAATGTTGTTGTAGATTTTAATGGATCTTGATTTTCATATAATGTTTAGGTAAATTCATAGCAAATCAACATAGATATATTTATATATCTATATAATATTTATATATCTATATAATGTATATTATATTGAGAGGGGCAGAGTGGGAGGAGGGGAAGGGGGAATTGATATTTTCGTACGGTATAATGTGTTCACATATATATATATATATATATATTACAGTCGGTAATATTGTAATGTATGTAATACATAGTACAATAATGTAATACATTGCTGTATTATGTATAGTATATATTTATTACAGTATATTACGTGTATTATTTAATCACAGGAATACTCAAGTACATCACTGTATATGCATATATAATATATTATATATATATACATATATGTTTGTGTGCGTTTATATATATATATTTTTTTTTCATCAATATCTAAGTATATTTTAGTTTTTCCGCTTTATTAAAACGCATAATGTTGATTGCTTTTATACAAAAAGGTTCAACATTCAGATAGGTTTAGGTTAATTACTTGATTCTAATCAACTAGCAATGCATTTTCAATTAGAGAAGAAGAAAGAAGACCTATAGGAAAATATTGCAAAGTGCATTGTGTCATCGTAGAAGTAAAATGTAAAAAGTTCTCGTGTTTCAACGTTGAACAGCATAAAACACAGTTTAGTCTTCGTAATTCTCTCTATGTTTATCGCTTTAAGGTTACGCAATGGACGAGAGCATCAATCATTTTGTATGGTACGCGTAAGCGCGTACGATTCCTTATTCGTATAAATACCTCTTTCTAAAGGAAAATATTATATACGTAAGATGCGATATTACAATTATACCTATCTACTGTAAAGTAAAGTGAACATTGAAACGTTCATGTATGTAAGTACGTGTCCAATGATTGTATTGGATGATGGATTTCGTTTGCCAAATACAATTTTAATAAATTGCACGGTGCAAATTACACTCGAGTGATTTTTAAATTCTACGTACTAACGTGTCTAACGAATTTCAAGAATTCAATTGTACGGGCAATTACATTTTTCTTTCTTATTGAGTAAGTATCATTTATAAAGGACGTTGGTAGAATTAACAATGTGAGAAAGTTAATTAAAATGAAAGGAAAGAATATTTTTACGATTAACGAGATAATATTTAGCCTTTAACGAGTTATGATTAGGCGGAAATTAGAAAATAATTAGAAATTTGTTCGATTGTATTCCATCGAAAGAGATTTAGTTTTAAAAAATTAGTATTTAAACTTGCCCCTTCGTTCAAGCATTATTCCTTCGTGTTAAAACAGACCGTAGAAACGTAATTAAACGTTACTCCAATCGGACTTGTACAAATTACATAAATTATACGGAGGTAAGGTCCAGCGTACAAGCCGTTCGATATTTTATTGCTTATCGTGGTGCATGCAATTTTTATAGTGACTAAATGTTGCCGGTCGACTTTATCACGTTACTATAAGACGATAAAAATAGTGTGACGGATGAAAGTAATTACTCAAATGCCGATCTATTCCCCTCTCTTTTTATTAGCCTTATTCCACGTATCCATATGCTTATCTATACTTGCACGCTTATATATACATATATATATATATATATATAATATATAAATATAGAATATATATATATAGATATAGAATATATAAAGATCTACCTTTTATAATAGCAATTCCTTACATTTAGTTCTCGCACGATCTCAAACTGAAGATAATTCATACAGCGCAAAACTCATTATTTTTCTGGATGTACGGTAAATAAAACGAAAATAGTACAGATTCAATCTTCGTACGTATGTATATATCAACATAGTACGGAAACATTAATTAGGAAGTTTTAGATCGTTAATCAGGCCTTCCGTAAATCATTTTCTCTTTATATCGTTTTATCTTTTATCTTATCTTAAGAATTAAAAGAGAAATAATCTCGATTTGTTAAGATTCATTTTAAACTATTGTTTCCCGATTAAGCTTCCTATATTCTCGAATGTACGTCCCGGTAAGGTTCTATCTTGATACACGGGAGATGGATTAAAACGAATAAGAATTTAGAAAAGGAGACGGTAGTAGTGTTTTGTACTTTGATTATCGTAAGATTATTTTAATCACATTAGTGCTCGAGTTGCAAGCTATATATATATATACATATATATATATATATGTATATATGTATATATGTATATATATATATATATACACAATATATACGAAGGTCCTGTTAGGAAAAGGAGCTCTCACAAAATCAATCTTGCGTCTAATGGAAAGGTGGTTCTCCCTTGGGACCACCCCCACCTTTTTCTTGCGAACTACCCTCCATCCTGTCTATTGCTTCCGTTTCGTGCTTGCTTTCTTTCTATAAATATAGTTTTATTAACCTAAAATGCGAACGTAAACCTCATCGACGTCCCGAGACATCAATTTACGAAGTTGTTATTTGTATTCCTAATGACTCTTCGATTTTAGAAATAAAAGAATAAGAAATGTCTTTATAACCTAAAATCGTCCGTCAAACTCGATAAGTAAATTGTTATGAATTATTTGTGAAAAATGAATTCCAATTATTAATATATATAATTAATAACATATATATCAATATATATATATATATATATATATATATATATATATATATATAAAGTCAGATAGATAAGATAAAATATTGTAGATATTAACGATGCGTTAATTTTTTTGATTTGAATCTATTTTCAAATGTGTGTTAAAATTGAAACATTTAACAAGGTGTTAGAAATGAGAATATATTAATAATATTAGATAAAACAAAACGAATTAGAAATGTTTCATGACATTAAAAAAAAAGAAAAAGAAAAGGAAAAGAGAAAGTGTATTACTCTTTAGTTCGATTTCACGTTCGATAATCGTCAAAAAGGAAGTTATACATACGGACGTAAGCAAGGACAGAGGCATATAATAAGTCAAAAAGCGAAGTATTCGACGTTCCGGAGATCGATATCTTGGTAATTAGACATCCGTTTGCCAGCTAAAATAACGATGAGTAAAAAAGGAGAACAAAAAGAAAGAGAGAAAAAAGAAAAAGAGAGAGAGAGAGAGAGGAAAAAAAAATAAAAGAGAGAAAGAGAGAAAAAAAATAAGATAAAGAAAAAGAAGGAAGATGGTCGTACGAGTGTAAGCATATCTACTCGTTGAACATCGTATACTATCGTCTACGTCGACTGTACACCTGTACGCGTGTGTCAATTTTCTGCCTGAGCTCATTAATATTGCTCCTCGCTATCCAAGACATTTTCAAGAGTACTTAAGGGTCAAGGACCGTGGGTCAAGGCCGTTCGGTAATCGAATATCATCTTTCATTGGATCGTTCTCTCTTCGACCTCGTTTTTTGTTTAATTACGTTTCTCGTCGTTACCATATTAAATATTTATTACGTTTTAATATAAAAATTAATAATACATATGACGAGTAATTTTTGTTCACCTCCTTAATATTTAAGAAAAAAAGGAAAGAAAAAAAAAAAAAAAAAAAAGAGAAAAGAAAAAAAACTTGGACCAAACTCACGTATATGATCGTCGACGGGTTTAAATATTATCGTAAATGTTTTTTTCTTTTTTTTCTTTTTTTTTTTTTATTATTATTATTATTTCTTTCTTTCTTTTTCTTTTCTTCTTCTATTTCTTCTTCTTCTTCTTTTTTCGCGTAGATATAGTTTATATTTATAACGTATCCTCGGTTCTTTTTTTTTTTTTTTTTTTAGGATTTCCCCTTTAGTCATAATCGAAGAATATTACGTAAAAATACGTGAGGAAAGGAGAAACCCCGTAAATCTAAGTCCGCCGTTGGAAGAGGAAAACAGTGGTCGTTGGTGAAGGTATCTAAAAATAGTAGGGAAGTACGGCGAGTGTCCTTTATAGCATTGTTAACAACTAATGTATGCGTCCCGGATACTCGAAACCCTCCGGCATTTAACATTCTTTAACATTATTATACACATGGCGCCTGTCTGAGTACTCTCCACACGTTTCTCTCCCTTTACCTTTCACTCTCCATCCACCCACATTTTCTCTCTCTCTCTCTCTCTCTCTCTCTCTCTTTATCTCTCTTCTTCGTGTCCCTTCACGTTCGAACGCGACCCTTCGCGCCTTCGGGGAAAGATTTTCGTCAGTTTTATTTAACTGCAACCAACGAAGGAACCCTTTTCTTTTTTCTCCCCTGTACTCCCGCCCCCTTATCATCCCCTTATCATCCCCTTATCCTTATATTTCTCGTACCTTTTCCAAACTCTCAAGATCGGCCCGTTTCACGGAAGTTCGATAATCTGGTCACGTTTTAAGACTTAGCTCTCAACGCTGTAATTTCGAGAAAGGAACACCTTGCTAACTCGCTTTCGATGCGTTACTTAAGGAAAAATGCTTCTTTGTGGAGGGGCGGGGGCCTTTTCCCCTTCTCTCCTCCCCTCCCCCTCTCCCTCCCCTCTCTCTTTTTTTTTTACTTTTTTTTTTCTTTTTCTTCTTTTCGTTCTTCAAGAATCAATTAATTTTAAATATACGCTCTGTTAGTTCCGTGCATATGCAAT